CGAAAAGAATGTAGATTAAATTAAATACAACGGAAGACCTGTGGAAACCTCAATATTAAAGGTAACACCTTCTTATACAATCCTTAAATAACTGCGGAGTCAACTGTGGACTGGTGAAGCCACATATTAAAGGCTAGGATACATATAATGTTAGAGTCATATTTGAAGCAGCATTTTCTAGATTTATGTATAGTATTTTTATACACTTCACCATACATAGTATGGAGGGTATATTAAGTTCGTCATTCCGTTTATAACTCATAGAAATAATCTGTCCATCTGTTGTAATCACGCTAGAGACAAAACGGATAAAAATAGGAAGCAAAAATGTTGTACAGATCAGTCTTGCAGGCAGGTCAAGTTCGAAGATGGGCTAGCGGTCCACGATATCGTATAGCCCCCATATAATGATACCATCCGATATTCGGTATTTTGATGATTGTAGCCAAGAAGTTCTTTCTGAGTTCTTTACTTCCTAGAAGAGTATTGTCTACACAGGGTGGGATAAAAAAAACTGCAACAAAGTCAAACGCCATAATTTTTACATTTTTTTTTAAATTTTATTGCATGAAAGTAAAAAATGTCGGAAATAACATCAAATTTTAGAACAAGTTTAGATTTGTTCGAATTGGTCACTTTTGGCACGAATTATGGACTTTAAAAGGCCAATGAAACCGTCACACGCTGCCCGAATGTTGCTCTTCGGTATTTCGGCCCATTCCCGGCGAAGCGCTTGCTTGAGGTGATTGACACTCTGGCATTTTTTAGTGCCAACCTTGCTTTCCAAAATACTCCAGACACAATAGTCCAACGGATTGGTATCCGGAGATTTTGATGGCCATTGTGCGCTGGAAATGAAGCGAGGAACGAGGATTTTGTAACCATTCTTGGGTGACGCGTGCTGAGTCCTGTTGGAATGTCCAAGGATTGCGGCCAAAATGTTTGCGTGCCCAAGGCTTTAATACACCCTCCAGAATATTTTCGCAATAATATTCGGCATTTATTCTGATGCCACGGTCGATTACTACGAGCGGAGAGTGACCATCGGCTGTTATGGCGCCCCACACCATCACCATAACCTGCGCTTGAGTTCTGGTGGCTAACCGAAGGTGAACATTTTCAGCTGACCTCTTTGGCAAGTAAACACGATCATTTTGTTTGTTTACAAACTGCTGGACAACGAATGTTTCCTCATCGGAGAAAACCAAATATGGCAGTTCACCACTTTCGGCCAAGCGAAGCAACTCTTTAGCTCTTTTGAGTCTATTTTCTTTCTGTTGCGTTGTTAGTTCTTGCACTTTTTGGAATTTCAATGGCTTTACCCCGAGCTCATTTTTTTCAATATTTGCCGAATGGAATATTGCGATATGTTCAGCTCGCGATCCATTTTTCGGGCACTGAGATGTGGGTTTCGATCAAGTCGCTTCTTTACTTTCGAACCATTTCTACTGATGTTGCTGTTTTCTTCCTTCCACTTCTTTGACGTCGGGCTACGCTACCAATATCACAGTATCGGTAACGAGCGATGGTACGAGACACAAAATATTTATTCACATATGAATGCTGCAGTGCTCTAAGGATAGCCACTTGTGGTTTTCCAGCCAAATATAAAGAAATCACACTATCACCCTTGAATTCCATCACGAATAACTTTTTTTCTGGAAAATTCTCACCGAAATGCTTTTGTGCGCTTGTAAACAATATAACGAGCTGTCACTGGAATAATTTTAACAGCCGTCGGAGGAATGGCTTAGAAAGGACAGCAGTCTGATGTTGGTTGCAGTTTTTTCATCCCACCCATCATTGATTCTAAGACGATTGATTAATTCTTAGCCCTGTCCGTCTGTTGTAATTTTTTAATTTATTTTAATGATTGTAGCCAGGAAGTTCTTTCGGAGTATTTTATCTCCTGGTAGGTCCACGATATCGTATATCTCCCATATAACAGTACCTCCCTATATTTGGTATTTTGATGATTTTAGCTGCATTTTTTCAATGGAATTGTTCAAAATCCATGCCAAAAATTCTTTCTAAGCACTTTACCCCTAGAAAAAAATGTCCACATAGGACCACGATAGGCCCACATACAACAGTGCCCACCAATATTCGATTCGTAGTTGTTTCAAATTTCGTATTTAGAGTTCGTAATGTATACTACAACCTATGACAGAAAATTGTATGTGCATGTCCGCTTTTTGGTATAGGTCCCACAGTTCCTCCCTATATTCGGTATTTTGTTGATTTTAACTATATTAGTATCCGATTTTTTCAGTTTCGTATTTGACTATTGTAATGGCTTATGACAAAAGTTACCTATGAAGGTCAACGTCGTCGTATAGACCCTACTATGACGGCTACATTTGGTATTTTCAAAATTTTAACCGAATTTTCAACGGATTTTATTATTTTAAAAGTTGTCAAATTCGTTCCAAATGGTGGAGGGTATTCAACAGCTTTTTTACTTTTATTTTTTTTTTCAAAATTTTGATCAGGTAAAATTTTTCAAATTTCAAATTATTTATTCATTAACATACTAACTCACCACAATTGCAAATACATTTAACTTACCTAAAAATAAAAATGAAAAAACAATAGTTAAAAAATGAAGAAAATTTATTCTAATATTATTATTATCATACAAAATGAAAAGATTTTTACAAAAAACATGTGGCAACAAATTATCTAAGAAAATTAATTTTGTTTTTTTTGGAGTAAATTAAAGCATTTGTTTCATAAACCAAGATGCATTGGAGAATTTTTTAGTACGTTGCTTTTCTTTTTGTTATACCCTACGCCAAACCCTAAGTTACGCATTTTTTTATACATTTGTTTGTACAGAGTTCCTTATGTTAATCTATGTGAAAGTTTACCTCGTAAAGTTAACTAACATGATTGATGATTGAGCAAGATCCCGCCTTGACCACATATTTTAAAAATTTCGGATTAAGAATTATTGGAGTCCTTACATTGTAGGAATAAAGTGACTTCAGATATATATAGCTGACTAGCAAAAATTTTAAATTTAAAGTTTTAAATTTATTCCAAGAGGTCGTTTTAGGAGGAAGATTTTAGTAAAACCATTGCACAATGGACCCACATCCAATTTTTCTGTCCAATACTATTTCAAATCAAATTTAGTACTATTTAGAACTTTTCGTATAACTATAGTAGGCATTTCCAAAGCCACCTCCGTATTGCAATTTCAGATACCAACAGAGGCCTCTATATAAAATTTCGATATAACAGCTGTATCCCTTCACACAATACACAATTTTGAAGCACATAGTACTTTGCGAACAATAATAGTACACATTTCCTACACCACTTCTAAATACCAACTTCAGATGCCAACAGTTTTCTAAATATCAAATTTTGGGAATTCCAGCTCTATACTTTTACCAAATTTAGTACTATTTAGTACTCAACTCCTTTTAAATAAAACCTACCAACAACAGGGATCTGAATATAAAATTTTGAAATTCCAGATTCATCCGTTCACCTTAAATTCTGAATTTCCAAAAACCCCTGCACTCAATATATACATTTTAGTACTTTTCGTACGAATTCCTAAAAACCAAAGGTAGCAAAACCCAAGGTAGCAAAACAAAATTAACTTTCATGCTAAATTACCAGATTCTGCCTTCAGCCGTGGCTATAAACCACAAGTGGCTATCGTTAGAGCACTCCAGCATTTAAATGTGAATAAATCGTTTGTGTCTCGTACCATCGCTCGTTACCATGACACTAGTAGCGTAGCCCGACGTCAAGGAAGTGGACGGAAGAAAACAGAAACATCAGGAGAAATTGTTCGAAAAGTAAAGAAGCGACTTGATCGAAACAGCGTCGCAGTAGCCGAAAAATGGCTCGTGAGCTGAATATACCGCAATATTCCATTCGGCTCGGCGTAAAGCCATCGAAATTCCAAAAGTGCAAGAACTTACACCGCAAGAGGAAGAAAATAGACTTAAAAGAGCCAAAGTGTTGCATCGCTTGTTTAAAAGTGGTTAACTAACGAATTTGGTTTTCTCCGATGGGAAAACAAACATTCCTTCGGTTGGCCACCAGAACTCAAACGCCGGCCATGGTGATGGTGTGGGCCGCCATAATAGCCGATGGTCGCTCTCCGCTCGTATTAATCGACCGTGGTATCAGAATAAATGCCGAATATTATCGTGAAATATTCTGGAGGGTATATTAAAGTCTTGGGCACGCAAACATTTTGGCCCCAGACCTTGGACATTCAAACAGTACTTAGCACTATCGCACTCAGCACGCGCCACCCAAGAATGATTACAAAATGTAGTTCCTTGCTTCATTTCCAGCCCAAAATGGCCACCAAAATCTCGGGATTCCAATCCGTTGAACTATTGTGTATGGAGTATTTTGAAAAGCAAGGTTGGTACTAAAAAAATCCCAAGTGTCGATCACCTCAAGCAAGTACTTCGCCGGAAATGGGCCAAAATACCGTAGAACAACATTTGGGCAGCGTGTGACGGTTTCATTCGCCATAATTCGTGCCAAATGTGACCAATTCGAACAAATCTAAACTTATTCTAAAATTTGACGCTATTTCCGATGCTTGTTGCTTTCATTCGATAAAATTAAAAAAAAAAAAATGTAAAAATAATGGCGTTTGACTTTGTTGCTGTTTTTTTATCTCACCCTGTATAATTATCGTAGACTTCGAAAAAGATTTTGAAGTTTGTGTAGGATTAAATAAAATGGATATTAAAAGAAACAATGTACAATACTATACAAATTTCAAAATCTCTTTCGAATTCTATAACAGTTATAATCTCAGGTATAAATAAATCTGATCAAATTAACATACGCTGTTGATCCTGACACATCCATCTAATTGTAAAGGACATAGGCACGTGAACATAACTTCGAGTCAAGTTCCTTTCAATGCTTGACTGCAAGTACACATTTCCATTAATGGAGAAACGACACAAACACACTCGAATATTTTACAACATGGACTGGGGCATTGGGGAACACTAGGTACTAATAGTGATGATACAGGGATGTGGATAAGCAATTAATGACCTATCGTTATACACATCACCGTCATCACCACCATCATCATCATCATCATCATCTTCGTCATCGACAAGTGCACATGATGAACAACACACTTGCAGGCAATATTGGTTGTAACAGTTGCTCGATTACAGCCGGATGAACACAGCAACAACAGCAACAACAACATAAAACATGTTTTTGTGGTTGCGAACATACCTTCAATAGAGATATATGGCCGAGGCGAAACATTATCAAATGAGCGATTAATAACAGATGCGAGAGAATTGACCATTTCTGCGGTCATGTGGCAATGTTGCTGATCAAAATGCTGATATTCTTGTTCGTTGGATGATGACATAGTTGCTGATGGGAGATTTGATTTCAACATTCCCGTCGTCGTGGATGTCGTCGTTGCAGCCCTCCTCTGTGATGGCTCATTTTTATCATCGGCATCAGTCAGACTAGGCATACGGTTGTTATTTTGGTTGTTTATTTCCAATACTACTAAAAATAGATTCAAAATATGTTGGATATGACTAGGTGTGAGGGGGGAGTGGCAGGGTGTGTTGGAGATAGCCCTCATTGTGTAATAGAGGGCAATTTATGTCAGTGTCACGAGTCATTTGTGTATTATTGGCCTTGTAAATTGTCATGCTGAACTTGTAATAGTGTGCTCGATATTTATTAATTTCGTTCCATCATTTTTTTCAGAACGATATCGATGAAATGTTTACATTTTCTCAGGAAATTGAGAGCAGAAATATATCTGCTTGTGGTGTATTTTTTGTAAGTAAAATATTATGGTCTTCTTGAAAAAGTCAACGCATAAGAGAAATATGTATGCCATCATTCTACAGAATTATGGCTGCTTCTTGAACATTTAATATTACTACGAAATATTTCGATGTGTCGAGTTTAAAAGGAATCGTATGCTTCATGGTAATTCAAAATTTTGAACCTTTTGAAGGAGGTACCAGCTGGAGTGACCCTGCCATAGCACTGACAAAAATATTGGGATTTGCAAAGTTTGAACAACATCGAATGATCCTTTCTCTTGCTATGAGATTATTTTCTTCGAGTTTAACAATAATAATACGATGCGTTAAGTTTGGACCAAATCGGATACTCCCGGATGTCATGATAGGGATTTGTTCCAAAGAGACCTAGTATCTAAAACCATTATTACATTTTGGCCGTAATACATGATGTATACCCTCTTTATCCATATGGGTGAGGATATAAAAATTATTGCATGGTGTTTCTGACCACACTGTGCGACTTGATAGATTGTTCGGCTATATTCCGTATTCATACTAGATCTTGTATATCTATAACTATTGGGATATGCCGAGTTTGATTGGGATTGAATACTCATTTTACGTTTTATGAGCTTTATAGTTATTAAAAATTTTGACCCATTGTGGGGAGGTACTATCAGAGATGGGTAGATCTCATCAGATCTTGTGTTAGTAGTAATATCGGCATGTGCGAAATTTGAAGACAATCGCACTTTTATTTCACATATTATAAGAGTAAAGATTATTCTAAAATTTTTACCCTTTGTGGGGGAGGTACTTGATGGAGTGGACTGATATTGTCCATTTTCGCACCCGACCTAGCACTGCCAAAAATATTGCGATTCGCAAATGATGTAAATTATTTTCTATGAAAATGTTGATCTTTTGTGGGGAAGGTACCAAAAAGAGTGGACCAATATTGCTCATCTCCGAACTAGGTCTAAGTTTAACAATAATATTACGATGTACCAGGTTTGGATTAAATCGGATGCTCCCTTCCAGAGAAACCTAAGGTCTACAACCGTTATTTCGATGAGGCATATTTTGGCCGTAGCAAATGATATATACAATACAAACTAAACAGGTAGACATCTATACTTGTAATTTTGTCAAAGTTAGCCTACCTTGTCTTCTTTGTACAATGCTATATGCCTAAAATGCACTGATTCCACGGAATCTTAATTCGAAAATTTCAAAAGATTGTGGAAGAGCTGCAACTTGTCCCCTCTATTGTAAATGATTACTTTGCGATGTAAACTTTCAGAACGTCTGTTTTTAGCTCTACTTTCATAAGCTTCTGGGGTTTTATACCCTACATCACAAGGTGGTCAGGGTATTATGTCTTTGTGCATTTGTTTGTAACAGGCAAAAGGAAACGAGATAGATCCATAGTTCCTTTTTATGATCTGCATAGAATCACTTTCTGAGTTGATTTATGCATGTCCGTCCGTCCGTCTGTCCATGTATTTTTGTAAACAAAGTACAGGTCGCATTTATTGCCCGATCCAAATGAAATTTTGCAAAGATCTTTTGTTTGGCCCAAGGACGAACCCTATTGAAATTGGAGATAATCGGTCAAAATTTAGATATAGCTCCCATATATATCTTCGTCCGATTTGCTTTTTATTGTGCACCAAACGTGTAATATCGGCCCGAATTGTATGGAATTTTGCATATACACCCAAATTAGGCCTGAAAATATGTATGCCAAATTTGATCGAAATCGGTTCAAATATAGCTATAGCTCCCATATATATCTTTATCTGATTTCAATTTAATTTTGCACCAAATGGGCAATACAAGTCCGAATTTAAAAGATACAAATGCTTCGGCATATTTAGTCCTTTGAATTTTAAATTATAATTATAATCATAGAGGGTATGATTGAATTCTCCCATAAAAACTTTTAATTAGCAAAGTGGTGTAGGGTATCATAAAATCGGGCCCGCCCGACTTTAGGACTTTCTTTACTGGTTTCTATATATTTTTTTTGTTGCACAGTGCTATCAATCAAGATATTACCAGTTCAATCCTAGCATCAGGCAACAAAATAAGATTTGAAGTGTGGTAAATTTAAACTCAACTTCAACTCTAGTTTTCTTGAAACAGAACGGCGACTTATTTGAACTTTTTTTTTGCTGGTGTTGGCAGTGTTTTCAGTTTGATAAGAACCTGCTTTCTATGACAAGTAGTTATTGGTGCAAACCCATTAAAATATGCCCAGTATGTGGTAATGATATTCTTACTGGGCATTCGCTTGAGTATAAAATTGTCGAATGATTGCCAATATTTAATTAGATAGCCGTCAAACTTTGACAATTTTACTAAAAGCTTTCTTTTCCCATGCCCCCTGGGTGATGTTGATTGTGAAAATCCATTCTCTCTTAATTTTATTGATGCAGGAAGATTTCGTGGAACACTGCTGTGGACCGATCTTAGTGTTTCCACTTTTAATGGCGTAGAGCTTACGGTCCTGATGAATTTCAATTGAAAATTCATCAAAAAACGAATACAAAAATTCTTTCCTTTGCCCTTAATGGATATTGAAAATCGGATTTGTTCTGTTTTTTCGAACTGCTGGCCGATATTTAAACTTTGGTGCAACGTCAAAGTGTTTGTGATTTTCAACACGTACACGCAGGAGATATCATCGACAATACTTGATATCTGTTAGGCGTTGTTGCAGTTCGGGTTGTCACCTCGTTTGGCCAATGTCACAATGACAATGTTTCCAAGTGCTGAATAACAGAGTGCGTGAGTGTCTGTATGTCGGTGTGTGTGGCGGTGATGGTGGTGTTGGTGGCTCGAGTGAGTGCATGTGCATTCATATGTGTGTTACCTCCATGTCCTGTTGTATCGAATGTATTAATACATTGTAATTCTTGTGATTGGTCATCCTTGTCATCTGTTTCAAATTTGCGGTCTGCATTTGAAAATGATGTCCTGGCATTTTTGCCACGTGCCGTGCTGATTGGAATATTTGACGACTCGTTTTCGGGAGAATATCGTTTTACGGTTGAGTCCGTGACCATAACAGCGGTGGCAGATGCTTGTGGAGGAATGGCGACTGCATGCACCAAGAGACCAACATTTTGACCTTCCACCTGTGGCACGTATGATACGATTGGTGGAGCATTGTGCTCTTGTGGAGTTGTAGTTGTTTTATTGTGGCGCCCAACAGGTGAGGGCGATTGTATTGATGTCATTTTTTCCGACAAATTTGTATGCCCGGCATTTAACCCGGCAGGGGAAGATGCTCTTGATGTTGCTACATGAGCTTCAATTAAGGCTGAGGGATATTTACGCATTGTAGATGTAGTTGACACATCGTCAAATGCTGGTGGTGGTGGGAGAACAGCATTTAGACCCAATGGTGTGTGGGCCCTCTGGTTTGGTTCTTGGAACTCGCCAAAATTGTCATCCACAACATTCAAGCCAAATGGTGAGGCCGAGCGGCTAGGTACATGTGGTTCAATGAGTGCCGATGGATATTTGCGTATTGGCGAAATATTTCGGGTGCTTTTTTCCAGGGACATTGATGGTGGTGGAGGAGGCGGTGGCGGCGGTGTGGGAATTGCCTTAATTGTCGACGTTTGTGGTGCGGAATACTTGTGCAATTTATTCTCTAAGCCATCTGGTTTTGCCCAGCTTGGTGAGTTGGAACGTTTAGTAGTGCAATATTCCTCAAATGGGGATTTGGCTCTTTGGGGCGGATAGGGTTCTGCCAGAGGGCCAGGATATTTACGTATGGCATGAATGGAGTCTTCATTAGGGTTCTTGGCGGATGATTTCGATTTGGAACGTTGTGTGGCAGATGAAGTATCATGAGGCTGCGACTTGGCTTCGATGAAAGGTAATGGTGGTGTTTCTTTGTGGGATTTCAATGATTGCCCGGCTCTTACTGGAGATTTAGATTTGGAACGTGGCTGGACATCAAAAGGCGAACAAGATCTTCGAGGAGGATATGGTTCAACCAATGGGGCAGGATATTTGCGTAATAAGTTCGTTGAATTCGCCTCTCTTGCTGGAGACTTGGATGTGGAACGTTGCTTGCAGTGAAACGGTGAAACCGATCTACGTGGTGGATATGGTTCCGCCAAAGGAACAGGATATTTGCGTAATGTTTCTGAAACATTACCCACCCTCCCTGGTGATACAGATTTCGAACGTTGCTTCGAAAAAATTTGATCAAATGGTGACATCGATCTTCGCGGTGGATATGGCTCAGCCAAAGGCGCAGGATATTTGCGCAAACATGTGGTGGATTGTGGGGCCACTCTGGCTGGAGACATTGACTTGGAACGTTGTCTGGTGTAGATGGGATCGATTGGAGAAACAGATCCCCGTGGTGGATATGGTTCAGCCAAGGGAGCTGGATACTTGCGTAGAGGCCCCGTAAAATTTTGACTTCTACCTTGTTGCCCACCACGTCCAGGTGATACTGATGGCGTACGTTGTTTGGAGTTGGTGTCATTTGAGCCATCATTTAATGACTTTTTATTTTTGCCCTCAACGAGCCTCAATGGTGGCGAAGGTGTTCTCTGTTGACTTGCCACTTTTGTGTCCACAGCATTTAGGCCAAATGGTGAAGCTGAACGCCTTGCTGCCAAATGCGGTTCAATAAGTGGAGCAGGATATTTTCTTAATTTATCATCAGTTGGCACAAGTTTTGTCGAGAAAGGCGGCGGAGGAGGTGGTGGGGGAGGTGGTAATATGGATGACTCCTGCCGCGGTTGAGATTTTTGCCTAGCTTGCATGCGTGATTTTGACGGCATCGTTGATTGCATTTCAACGTGACCACTTGCCATTGACAGTGTTTGTTCTTTGGCTGTTGGTTCCTTTTCTTTGCTGGCGGTTACATTGACACTTTTGCTCTCGTGCCCATGGCATTTTGGAGTGGAGCTGATGTTTGCTTGCACATCCTCCCAAGAGATTTGACGTTCGGTTACATAAGGACTTGGTAGCTCATATGACGACTTGTAAGTGTCACCATTCGTTGGGGTGGTTTTTGGTACTTGCTGGCGGCACTGTTCATCTTCCAGCTTGACACTTTTGTCAGCTATTGAGGGCTCTTTCCCAGGTTTGTGGCTTGGACGGCCAGAGTTCGTTAGTTGTTTGTCAAATTTAGGAAATTGCTTATCAGCCATAATGCCCGTTGCATTTTTAATAGCCAATTTAAGACGAGGTCTATCGTTTCGTTGACCGCCGTGTAATGGTGTGCCACTGCCAGGAGCAGGAGCAATATTTTCTGCCGTCTCATCAGCTCCAGTATCCAAATTTCGTGCCACTTGTCGCACGGAATGTGTGACGGCCGCATTCTTTTCTCTGTTTGCTGGCAATTGTGATGATGCAGGTTGATTTAAATTTGATTTTTTGCCTTTGTTGTTGGCCATCTCATCACCTGCTTTATGCTGACGCTGACGAGCTCCATGGCCAGCATCAGCATCGGCATCATTATTGGTAGCAACTTGATGGCTGGTTTGTTTGGGTTTGAGCTGTCCAACATCTTTTTTGATTTGGCTATGCTGTTGTTGTTGCTGTTGATTACACTTACCAAGTGTGTCAATTACCTGGTCCAGTAGTTGCTCCTGCTGATGGTATGTCGTTATAAATTCGGAAACTAAATTTTTCCCCAAATCCTTGCTAAGGTTATTTCCAGACACTGTTGTTGTTCCTGATGCCATCGAATGACTCTTGGATGTTGGTTTTTCCATGGAAGTTACTAGTTTCGAATTTCCAGATGCGGAACGCTCATGTTCATGTTCCTGCTCCTGTAATGTTTGTGTTAAGGTTATGGCTGGAGCTGGTGTTTGGCATTTTGAAGTTTCCTTTTGACCTGCATCAGTTATTGGTTTGCATTTTTCGTCATTTTCCTGGGAACCTACTGCCACCTTCTGTTGCGGCTCGTCTAATTTGTTTGAGGTTGCTGGCATTTTGTGGCCCTCTCCCCCCTCCTTCTGCTCCTCGATGTGCACATATGATACTTTTTGGGCCTTGGGCCATGTTTCAAATTTAACATCTAACGATGGCATTTGCTTGAGATTATCTATTAAAGGCTGCAAGCTTCTGTGGTCGACTATGTCCAGTGGTGGCTCCTGCTCCTTCAAATGGTCAGTCAACTTATTAAGATCACTTAAAACTCTATCCACTATGGCCATGTTCTCTAGGCCGGGCTGGGGCATTGATTCCTCAATTTGCCCAAATGCTGCTGATAATGATTCTGCGGTTTGCCCTTGTGGCTGGCTAACAGCATGAGGAGTTGGCTTCACCTCTTCCATGATGTAGGCGATTTTCTTTAAAATCGTTTGTAACGGAGTCTCGGGGGTGTTAAGGGTTTCTGCTTGGTTTCCTCCTCCACCTTTGGTGCCTGACTCAGCTTTTTCGGCAGATTGCTGGTCCTTGGATTGCGTTTTCTCTGCCTGCATGGAACGCTTCAATGCCGTTTTTGCATTTTCAATATATGCATCGATTTGCCTTAGGTGTTCCGTTATGGATTTCTGTATGTGTTCATATTTAGCCGTCAGGTCGGCAATCTCGTTTTGCTGTTGATTTTTTTCAATTGTTTCCGCCTGAGTATCTTTTTTAATTTCATTCGAAATTGATGGCGTCATTTGGGCGTTTGGGCCATGTTCTATGGGCTTGATGGTTATGCTGGAGAGAGGTTTGCCATTGGTGGGATCATAGGGCCCATAGAGGTACTCCCCATCGGTGTAGTAAATACCTTTGTCCTGCTTTCCTCCACTTTCAAGGGGTGCATCTTCTTTGGCTCTGGGGGTGGTGCTGGTGGCATCCTGCTTTGCTTTGGCTTTGATTCCTGCCGTTGATGCTGTGGAACTGTTGCTGACATTACTTGACTGCGATTTACGTTTAGCACTGACACTTGTTTGACGTGAAAGCTGTATGCCATTGGGTGTACTTGGCAAGCGTGTTATGTATGTCTCTGGCTCCTCATGTGTGTGGCCTGTGGCGTGTTTGGCATTTGCCTGCTGTTTTGCTGTTGTGTTATGTTCTGCTGTTGGCGTTGGCATTTCTTTTTCTCCTTCTGCTGAGGAAGGGGGGTTTATTTTCATAGATTCCAATTTAAATTTTCCCATTAAATTTTCATTTTCTTGCTTTTCCTCCTTTATGTTGGCCTTTAGTTGGCCCCCTCCTTCAGCCAGCCATTGTTGTATCTGTTCCTCACTGGGTGAGGGCACAATTGTTATGGCTGCCGGTATGTAAGCCACGGTATTGTCTTGTAAATCAATTGAACGTAAATAAATACAGGCATCATTGTATTTTTGGTTATCCCTTAAGGATGGGGTTGACATCAAATCTCCACCTTCTCGTGGCAGCTCATAGTCCAAGTTTATGGGTATTTGGTGGTTTTGATGGCTTTTCATAGCGGATTTTGCCGTTGGCGGTACAGGTAATGGCACATTCTCCAAATCATCAGCCATTGTCTTCGACTTGGGATGATTAAGGGATTTCACTTGTATCTCATGTTCCTCAGCATCGGCATCATAGCATATCTTAATTTCGGTGGCCATTTTTATGGAACGTCTCTGCAGTTTGGGTGAATTTTCATTTGAAGATCGCGGCTTTTGTGGTGGTAATTGTCGGCGTGTATGCTTGACATCTCGACCCCTTTCCAGGGAGTATGATTGGCGTTTGGGATGGTGATAATGGTGGCGAGGATGTAGCTGCTGGTCTTTTTTCTTTGGCCTCAAACTGGGGCATGCTGAATTCAAGTTTTCATAGCTAAACCATTTTTTGCAAGAGGTCAACTGTTCATAGAATTGTCGCCTGGGTTCAACCAAACCTATATCTTCATCGGCTGCCTTGGTTTCGGGATGGGAAAATCCCTTTGTGGCAGGCAGGCTGGTGGTGCGATAGACTTCGTCATCGTCGTCGTTGTTACCTCCTTGTTGTGGCTTTTCTAAAAACATATTTTTAGATTCATTTAATCCAAGTTGTTGTTGTTTATGGTTGCCATCAGATTGCTCCAACTCTCCATTGCAACCCTCAATTTTTGTAATAATCTCTTCATTTGATTTATTTTCTAAAGTTGTTTTCTGCGGCTGCTGGAGGTGGTGGTATTTTTGTTCCTTAATGACATCTTGTTTTTCAGGTACCTTTGTTCGTTGTTCCCTGCACTTGGTTCTGCTTGATTGGTGGCCTGTTGTTTGCGGTTGTTCCTGGGCTCGTTGTCGCCTTAACCTCACCTCTCTGGCTGTGGGTTCAATTATCCTGGTGGGACTATTGAATTTTTCTCGGATCACATCGATGCCATGACGTTTACAGACGCTTTCGTCAAATTGTAACGCATTGTCAGTGGATGAGCTGCGAACATGTTGTTGTTGTTGTTGTTGCTGTCGTAGATGCCGTTTGTCCATAGCATTCCCAGAGTGTATTTGTTCGTCGTCATCATCATCATCATTGTCACCGCCACCATCACCATCACATTCAATTGCATCAACTTTATCATGGTGACTTGTTGGTGGCCAGCTGTGTTCACGTTTATGTAAATTTCTTCGTGTTGCCAGGCGATTTATCTTTAGGACCGTATCACGGTCTATCGTTATGTCGTGCTGATGGCTCAAGTACTGCGTTTTGATTTGTTCCAGCTGCTGATGGTGCAATGGTGTGTGTGGCCGTTCCTGGTAACGTTGTCTCGAACGGCTCTGTCTTTGGTTGGGTTTGTCATTCTTAGCCGTTGCCAGTCCTGTTGTAAATGTTTCTATGTCCGTTCGCCATTGGATTTTGTTGAGAATTGTGGCGGAGGATGTATGTGTGTGTGGATACGCGTTGTTTTTTTTTTTTGTAATTGTGCAATGTTGTTGTCGAGTTTCGTCAAGGTGTTTTTGTGTTTTGTTTTTTTTTTTGCCATAACCATTTGTCATTCGGGAGCAAAACAATCACAAACACGTAAAAGAAAAGGACATTAGAAACTGTTTTCATCTTCTTTTTTAGCGTTTGCTTTTAAATTTGTTCACATTTAGCTGAAAAATTGTTTTTTTGTATTTTCTTCGTTTTGTTGCTTAGCTTAGAATATCTTGAGGACATTTTACGATCGTTATGGGAAACATTTCTTATATTAATAATCTGCAAGTAGTACATACATAGATATTTTATGTTAATGTCGGAACTTAGAGGAAAACTGGAGTGCGACACTTAAACACAATCAGCTACATATTTCCTTGAAAAGCTTCAACTGTTAAATAATTATTTACATGTAACATATTTTGTTATTTATTTTTAGAAACATTTAAACGGGGAAGGAAGGATGCAAACATAATTCCTGAGCAGAGAGACATTTTTATTACGAAAACAACGGGGTATGCAATTTTCAAGAATTTTGCTTGAAATAGTCTACATCAATGTCAGACAAAATTCAATGGAAGGCATGTGCATTGGCGTTTTGAGAGGCAATCTAAATGGAGTGGGACAATTTCCCCTATCTTCTACATTTTTGGAAATTTTCGAATTAAGATTCCTCGAAATTTTGTCATCGCAAATAATACAGTGGAATATTTTGATCGAGTCACCAAAAAGAGGTATATGGACTACTTCTGGTCTACACATTTTTCAGATGTAATTCGAAACATTTTCATTGTAGTTCGTAATATTTTATTTCATGTACGTCCGTCTGTCTGTCTGGCTGGCTGTTGCAATGGGAGCATCCGATTTGAATCTAACTTGGTACATCGTAATATTATCGACAAACTTAGATTGAATTCCGAGATGGGAAATCTCGGTCCACTCCTCTTGGTAACTCCACCACAAAAGGTCCAAATTTTTACAGAAAATAATTTTCCCTATGCAACGAGGAATGATTAGCCAATTTTGTTCAAGTTTTGCAAATCCCAATATTTGTAGCAGTGCTTCGTAAGGTGAGAAAATTGACAATATCGACCCACTCCATCATGTACCTTCACACAAAGAGCCAAAATTTGAATAATTATAGCTCTTATAAAATACGGAGTAGGTATCCGATTCTGTTCAAATTTCACACATTCCAATGTTTCTATTAATACATAATCAGGTATGAAGATAGAAAATACCCGTGTGCTCCTTCTGGAATCTCTCCCACAATTGGGTCAACATAAAACGCGAAATGAGAATGTTATTATTTTTAAATTTGGCACATCCCACTATTTCTACTAACACAGCACCTGGTGCGAATATGGAATGTATTGGTCCACTCCTTTTGGAAACTCCTCCACAAAAGGTCAACATTTTCAATGTTCATGAAGCTTATAAAACAAGAAATTAACATCTGATTCCATTCAGACTTGGCACATCTCCATATTTCTATAAATACATTATCTCTTATAAAGAAGGTAGAGATCGGACCATTTCTTCTGGTACCTCCCCCACAAAGGGTCAATGTTTTGAATATCCAAAATGAGCATAAAAATTCTCTTAATATTTCGCACATGCCATTATTTCTGCTAACTCAAGATCTGCTGTAAAGATGGAGTATATTCTGGTACCTCCCCCACAAGAGGGTCAAAATTTTGAATATCCATGAAGCTCATAAAACGCGAAGTTATCATCCGATTCTATTTGGACTTGGTCTCAATATTTCCATCAACACGAGATCCGTTATAAAGCGGGTAGAGACCGGATCATTTCTTCTGGCACCTCGAACAAAATACTCAAAGAAAGCGAAACAAGCATCCAACTTTCTTCAAATTTCACACACAAAAACCCTTGACCAATGTCACAATTTTCAATACTTTTATCTGTCATAACTTGCGAAACAAGTCACCGATTCTTAACAACTTGCTATATCTAAATATTATCTAAATATTTCTCTCAACCAGATTCTGGGATGTAATATATGATTTGACATAAAATTCCATAAAAATGTTCGATTTTTATACCTTACACCAGACAGTGGTAAGGATATTATTTGTGCACTTGTTTGTAACTTAGAGAAGGAAGTGAGTTAGACCCATACTTACTTTTGACGATCTGCATAGAATTACATTCTGGGCCGATTTATGCATATCTGCCTGTCCCTGTGTCTGTCCGCCTGTTCGTCTGTCCATATATTTTTATAAACAAAATACAGGTCGCATTTATTGTCCGATCAAGATGAAATTAAGCTCAAAACACTTGTTTGGTCCAAGGACGAACCCCATTGGAGATAATCGATCAAAATTTAGATATAGCTCCCATAAATATCTTCGCCCGATTTGCTTTTCTTCGTGCAACAAATGTCTAATATTAGTCCAACTAGGATGGAATTTAAAACATTTAACCAAATTGGGCCTAGAAAAAAGTTAGCCGAATTTGGTGAAAATCGCTTCATCGTATATGTTATGTGGACATAAAATGGTTAATATAAGTATGAATTGAATGGATGTAGCTATAGGTCTCATATATACGTTTCAACAGATTTTGTATTTGGTGCCAATTATCAGATACATCGAAGAAATACCTCTGCTAAAGAACTCCCATATTTATCTCCACCCGATTTCACGTTTATTTTGTCTAAAAAGTGTAATATCAGCCCAAATAAAATGGATTTTGACGAATATCGGTTCAGACACAAATATCACCGTCAAATTTAGTAGAATACTATAGAAGCCTGTCATATATTAGTTCCTTTCAGCTTTAAATTATAACTCTTTTAAAGCCATAAGAGGCATTCAAAAAACGATCGTAGTTGGTATGTTTTTATTCACCATAAATTCCCCATAAAAAACGATCATTTGTTATATTCAGCTCTACTACATATATATGCAAAGTGGTGTAAGGTATCAAAAAATCGGAATCAGCCTGACTTTGGTCTTCCTTCACTGGTTTTTATACCCTCCACCATAGTACGGAGGGGATATTAAATTTGTCATTCCGTTTGTATATATATTCTTGATCAGCTAAAATTTTATGTCGATCTAACGATGACAGTCCGTCTTGTCCCTGTTTAGGTATAGCGCCCACATAAATATACCTCCCTATACTCGTTATTTTTTTTGATTTCAGCGACATTATTCGCCGGAATTGTTTCGAATTTCCTATTTGCAGCTCATAATGGGTACTTCAGCCTATGACAAAGAATTATATATGCAATTTGAAGTTTCTAATGGGTACTACAGCTTACGACAGAAAATTGTCTATGCAGGTCCAGGTCTTTGTATATCCCCCATACATCGGAATCTCCCTATATTCGGTATTTTGTTGATTTCAGTGACATTATTCGGCGGAATTGTTTCAAATTTCGTATTTGAAGTTCTAATGGGTACTACAGCTTATAAAAGAAAATTGTCTATGCTGGTCCAGGTCTTCTTATAGGTCCTAATTATCGGTATTTCCTTATATTCGGTATTTTGATGATTTTAGCGACATTATTCACTGGAATTGTTTCATATTTCGTATTTGAAGTTCCTAAATGGGTACTTCAAACTATGACATATAATTGTCTATGTAGGTCCAGGTGTTTGTATTGCCCCTAAATATCGGTACCTCCCTATATTCGGTACATTATTAATCGACATTATTAATCGGAATTATTTTAAATTTCGTATTAGAAGTTCATAAGGTCCAGGTTTTTGTATAGCTCCCATATAACTGTACCTCCCTATATTCGGTATTTTGCTGATTTTTGCGACATTTTCTACCGGAATTGTTTCAAATTTCGTATGTGCAGTTCATAATGGATACTATAGCCTATGACAGAGAATTGTATATGGAGGACTACGTTTTTGTGTAGCACCCATATAACGGTACCTCGATATATTCGGTGTTTTTCAGATTTCAGGGACATTATTCACCGGAATTGTTTCAAATTTCGTATTTGAAGTTCATAATGGGTACTACAGAATGTGACAGAAAATTGCCTTTGCAGGTTCACGACTTCGTGTAGACCCCAAAATAACGGTAACTCCTTAGATTCCGTATTTTTAAGATTTTAACTGAATATTTAACGGATTATATGTTTTATTTATTTATTAATTATTATTATTTTTTAAATTAACAACTTCATTCCAAATGGTGGAGGGTATTCGAATTTCGACCCGGCCGAACTTACAGCTTACTAACTTTTATACCCTACAACACTATGTGTTGGGGGTATTATAAATTTGATTGGGCCAGAATTTATGTAACACCTCGAAATATTGGTTTCCCATATAGGAAAGTATATATGGATCTTCCTAGCTCGCCGAGCTGAGTCGATCTAGCTATGTATGTCCGTCCGTCCATCTGTCCGTCTGTCCATGTTAATTTGTAATCACTCTACAGGTCGCAATTATGGCCCGATCTTCGCGAAATTTAGAATGGAGGTGGGGCTAGGGTCAGAATAGAACCCTATTTCTTTTGGAGATGATCGCCAAATGTTTAGGGGTTAAAATGGACCAAATACTGAAAAAATGTCGGATTGTGCAGTAGCTATACAGGTCGCAATTATAGACCAATCGACGCGGAATTTCGCATGTAGCTAGAGTTTAGGGCGGAAGCCTACCAATTTATGTGGTCATCGGATTATATTTAGCGGGTAAAATAGACCATATCTTTTGTATTGAAAACATTCGAAATTTTTCATTAAACCGCGAATATTTTAAATCCCGGCGAAATCACAAAGCCATGACAGGGTTACTTCTGATCTTTACACTGATGTTAACATCCAACAAATCGGATATATAGCAAAATATGTGCGATATATATGTCTATCAAAGAAGATATGCTTGAAAAATCTCTTATATGTCGAGAACGGCTGAACTGATTTCGACA